ATGACAGAACAGTGAACCTGAGTGAGACGCTGAGTTTCCCGAATCGAACTAAAATACACTAAGAGCATATAAGCAGCACATGACTGCATTAAGTCAGAAAACACCTTCTCAACAATTAGCAATTCATCATTTCAGTTATTTTTCAAGTAGAACTTTTCTGTAGTTCCAGGTAGTGCTGCTGCTAATGATTACTTTCATTCACAATCAACCTGTTGAGTATTTCGTCAATTAATCAATTAGTTGTTTGGGCTTTAAAATACAAGAAAATGGTGGATAATGTCAATGAGTGTTCCCACAAGCCCAAGATCACGTCCTAGAATTTCTTGTTTTGTCCTCAACCCCAAGATATTCAGTTTACTGTCATAGAGGTGGAGGGAAATGGGTAAAAAATAACACTACGGAAGCCAGAAACACAGAATTCTGTTATTCTCTTTCTTTACTCAAACTGATTAATCAACTATCAGAATAGTTGACAAATAATTTTAAAGTCTGTCAACTGTTGCAACTCCAGGTTCACAAATGATTTTCTGTTTAATATCATTGTAATTTCAATACTCTGACTGTCTGTTAGCTTCGCTGAAACCTTGGATTCTTTAAAAGAGCTAAAGCTGATATTATTGTGTGCGCATTTAGAGAAAATAATGGAATTGGTAGCAACCTCCACACAAATTGTAATCACCTAAACACCGTTATTGTGCGCGCTGCTTTTCAAATCCTTTATTACATCAAGATTTCCTCAATGCCTCACATTGTCATTTTCCAAACCGCTGAGACATTTCATGTGGATTCAGAGCAGAGCGACAGGAACAGGCCTGTGGTTTTCTAATCTGACCATCACAGCAAAGCCACCGACTTCTCCTCGCTGCACTGATGACTTCCGCCGTTTCACTGCCTACTCGCAAACATCCACCCGCCTGCTGCCGACACCCAAAACAGACAACAAACTCCATCTCTGCTACATTTTTTTCGGGGGGTAATTTTAGGGAATTAAACCAAAAAAAAAACTGAGCTTGATTTGTTATCTCATCGGAGACATTTTATAAACTTGAAAGCAGCTCGTCTCAGAGAGCCTGAAACAATTAGAGCTGCGGTTTCAAGGGAAGAAGCTCAGTGGCTCTTTAAAACTCAGCAAGTCATAAACGGGTTAAACCATTTCCTCAGAGAGGGGGGATTCCCAGTCCCACATGCTGAGTGTGGTCTTACCCCAGAGTTTTAAAAATTCTTTCTGCTTCTTTCTTCAGCTCAGATTTAATTTTTTTCCTTTAACCTCCCACCGTTTAACACTGAGGCCTCTGACATCTTTTTGCTCCTGGTTGCCAGTAATTATGTTTATGTTCATTTAGCTTATCTATACATGCATGAGGTCTGTTTTGCTGCTTTTTCCTGGCATGTTGATTTCAGATTTTGAATTTGTGCAGCCAGAAATGGAACATTAAAACTTTAAAACAAGAAGAAGTCGAGGTCAGAAGACAGTATTTAAAAGAAACTCTGTCATTTATCCACTCTGTAGACAACACATTTACAAATTAACTCAGTTTCATTTGGAAAAAAAAACCCTTTAACGATATATATGCATTACAAATCTAAACTTGACCTCTGTTTACAAACACCAGCTTGATTAAACAATCCAATATGTGGATGATGCATTTACTTCCTTCGGCATTTTTTTTTTTTTTTTAGCAACTAAACAAAACATTTTTGACAAGTCTTCTCTATTTCCTCTTTTTTTTCTCTCCCTCTACATCTTCCAACCCTCTAACCTCCTTCTTCTATTTGATTTTTTCTATCCCAACAGCTGTTGTCGGGGCACACAGCTGCAACACGGCTCGGTCCGTCACACTCTGCAGCGATTCGCCGGCCTGGGAAGCCCAACCAATCGCCAAGTGCTGAGGATCAAGTGCACATGTGCAGACCCAAACACACACACACACACACACACACACACACACACAGACACGTTTTTGGGTCAGACGTTTGTGAGGCAGACGAGGGAAAAGAAAAGGTTCATCTTCGCTCAGACCCGCACGGCACACGTGGTTATGATTCACTGGATCCTGAGGAACTAAACTCAAAATGTCAAGGTTAATTTGTGTTCCAGTGCATCTGAGCATTTCCACAACCACTTGTCTCCCCCCCCTCCCTTCGCTGCTTTAATGAAACGTTTACAGCCGCCATGCCCCCTAAAGACACACAAAAAAAAAAATCACATAAATAAAAACAAACAAAGCAAATCAAAATGTGATTTCGGTGCTATTGTTTTCCCCCAGCACAAAAAAAAAAAAAGACCAAACGCACCCACTGTGTTTAATTATGAGGAGACATTTGGTTGTGGTGTAACAGAGGATTCACAGAGGCTCGCCTCGGGGCCGGCCTCATTGTCCAGGACTTTAAAATCTAATTCAAAGTGACACCCGTCTCAGCAGCGGAATCGCTCGATGCTGCTGGTCACTTGTGTAATCCTCAGAGGCAAAGATACAGTAGAGCTCCAGAGCGCTCTGTGGACGCTCCTGCCAAACTCCACCGGTTCATAAGTCAACAGATTCCTGCTCAGACTCATCAAGAGGAGCAACTCTGATACATCATATGCAAGAAAGAATACTTCAAGTAAGTAACACCGCCAGTCGCCCAAAATGGCTCTTCACATACACGTTATCATTCCTTAAGGACGCCACACTGTATGTCTCTGTGTTGTGTTTACCGTCAGCCTCAGCCCATGAACTGCACAGTAATTTCTACTCTACATCACACAAGCTCTAAATACACATCTACATATCATGTGCTTTTAGTGTGCAAGGATCCACGTGGACACAAGCAGACCAGAATCATCCACAACACAGCTCCCTTTAGTCTCTATTAGGCCTTTAAGAAGGACTACAACATGTATTTTAAAGCCAAGCACCTTCTGCACACACAAGAGAAATAAGAATATAACTCAATCATGTCAAAACCCTTGGAGCACAACATGTCAGAATCCAGCAGAGTATCAACAGTCACACTCTGCGGCTCATGTGACCTTTTTAGAATCATCATTTAAAGCTGCAGAAAGCCTGAGAATGGAGTTTTGCTGCTGCTATCTGCTTCAGCAGCATCGACTTGTCTCCAGCTCCGTATGGTCGTTATGAAGCGACTGAATCACCTTCTGGCTCTGCAACACCAAAGCTGCCCCCAGTGCCACCGGCCAGGAGCTGCATTTACCGTATTAGTGCAGCTGACAGAAAACATCCAAGTGGTAAGCACAAGCGTTCAAAATTCAAGTTAGGGCATCAAACCTTCAGAATTCCAAACAGTTTCTTGACATTTTTTTTGCTCCCGTCGCATTTTTACTCACTGTGGAAACAACACAAACATGACGAGAAGTAAAGACACCTGAAAACCGCCCCCTGTGCTGTATGACCGAGTTATGACATGAGAAATCACAACACAAAGCTTTACGAAACTACTCTGCACATCAGCTCTAGAAAGATGTTTCACCGTGTTGAATCTATCGTCCAACAACTTGCACCACCGTACACCGTTCACGCCATGTTTTCTGATCTTCTGTCTGTTGGTCACAGCTCAGTCGGTCATGATGTCTCTGTTGAGTTGCACAGAATTTTTGTCTTTTACAGAATCTGGTGTTTGTTTTAACTGTAAATGAGACATGTTGAGTAAAGTGACCCTCAGCCTATATTTGGCTATTGATCACACATGATTACATCAAGCCTAAAAATCTGATAATCATTCTGTTTTTGCGGCTTCCTGCTCAGATAAATGGGGGAATTTTAGACAACACACCTTTCAAACCTGCTTATTCGGTAAACCTTACATAGCTACACATCACACAACCAGTCCCTGGTGCTGGAAAACCTAATCAGTACGCGATCAGCATGTTGAATCACCCAACAAAACCTCCCTCAAGAGGTGTTGTTGTTCAATGAAAGTCACTTGGGTTTGTTCTAGAAGGGCTTGAGTTTGGCTGCTTCCATCGGTACAACGCAGCAGGGAAGGGAAAAAAAAAGAAGCACGTGGGACGACTTTCCAACCACAAGCAAATAAGAGTCAATCACAGTTGGACACAGCTTTGACTTGCAGTTTCGGCTGCACAATGGTGTGAATGGATACGTGAACGCAGGGACGATCACCTGCTTTCTGTCTCACATGATATAAACCATTCAGAAACGCTCATAGATGCAGTAGCTTTGGTAGAAACCCTGCACAACGCCTCACGGAGGAGTGATGTCTGTGGCTGCTTTTCAAATTAAAACAGCTCAACAGAAGCTCCGGCAGCTCTGACCCAGTCTTCCTCCTCTTCTTCCCTCTGCTCTCATTTCTACCAAGCAACAGCGGGATGATGTCGCTCGCTTGCTCATCCCTGTTGGAGGTGAAAATCTGGGCTGCAGGAGCACCAGGTCTCCATCAAATCAGGCCTTTTCCACTATCTGTATGTGTGTGTGTGTGTGTGTGTGTGTGTGTGTGTGTGTGTGTGTGTGTGTGTGGGATGAACAGGCCTATCCCCATTAATGCAGCACACAGTCACTCCAGTGAAAGGCCTGCTGGGCAATGGTGTGCACAAATGCGCAATGAAACACCGCCCACCTAATGGCGCACAAGTCGGTCAGCGTGGTAGAGTCTGTCATTGCACGGATTGAGGTTCAGCATGAACTGTGAAACGAAGATTTTTTTTTTTCTACTAGGGTGTGGATGAGAGAAGGATGAGAGGAGGAGGAGGAGGAAGAGGAGGAGGGATCTCTTTAAGGGAGCAAAAAATAGGTGGGATGATGTAAAGAAAAAAAAAATTGAATGGATGGGATGTGAAGAGGCTATCAGAGAGATAATCCAGTCCAGACTGCACCGGTCCCAAGTGAAGCAGGGGAGGGGACACGTTAGAATAAACCTGAGACCGTGACAGAGGAGGAAAAAGAAATACACAAATGCGTGTTTATGCTCCAGTTTCCTCCAGTTTGTTCCCGACTGGAGCTCAAAACACGCACAGAGACGCACAGATCGAGGCTCAAACCAACCTTGTAGACTTGTCCATAGGTGCCATTTCCGACCACTTCCACCAACTCGAAAATCCCGGCAGGATCCTGGATGCAAAAAAAAAGCAATAATAAAAAAGAAAATTAAAACAAACAAGAAGAAAAAAAAAAGGCTGGATCAGGTTAATTGATTCCCTGTAATAATTACAATCAGGTTCGCTCGATGTAGGAGCCGGCTGCGCCCGGCTGGCCCTCTCATGCCAGCGGATATTAGACAAAGAAAAGCCACCGCAGGGCTGTGTCAACAACAGCTCTGCGCCCTGGATGATTTTATTTCTCATCATTACCAAATAAACTGGAGTGTGCAGATGTCAGTGTGGCGCACACTCACCCTGAGGGATGCCAGGTCTATATCCACCAGACTTTTGGCCGGAGAGTCGTTCGCCATTTTCGCAGAAAACGGTGCTAAATCGGCGGAATAACGGCGTTTTTTTTAGTCTCCTTCACACGGACTGCGTGTGTCTCATCCTCGGCTGGTTTGATTTTTAATCCCGCTGCTGATATTTTCTATCCAAGGCGCGTTTTTCCCTCTTTGTATTCCCAGACAGGCGCTCCGCCGCTGCTACATACCGACCGACTGCCACAGCTCCGCCGCGCTGCCTCCACCTCCCTCCCTCTCTCTCTCTCTCCCTGTTGGTGTTAATGTCTCTCTGCCTGGATTCTCCGCCCTCTCTCCCTCCCGGTCTCTCCATATGTCTCTCTTTCCCTCTCTCTCTTCATTCTCCGCCCCTTCTCAGGCTCACACAGGGGCAGCACCAGACTTTTTGGGGCCCTGAGCAGCGTTTTCCCCCTCAGACCCACTAAAGGGAACCATTCTGGCCAGTTCATGCTTTATGCATCCAAGTGTCTGCGAGAGTAAGCATAACTTCATCATCCACCAGGTCAGAAAGGGTCCACTGAGGCTTTTCTGCAGAAATGTGCATGCAGCCCCAAATTTATGACCACCAGAACCAGAACTGACCACACTGCAAGAACCAGACCGTACGTGTGCCAGAAAAACAAATGACGCTTAAAACAACCCAACAGCCCAAAACCATCCATCCATCCATCATCTATACACCGCTTAATCCTCACTAGGGAAGCTGGAGTCTATCCCAGCTGACTCAGGGTGAAGGCAGGGGACACCCTGGACAGGTCACCAGTCTATCACAGGGCTACACTTAGAGACAGACAACCAAGCACACTCACATTCACACCTACGGACAATTTAGAATCACCAATTAACCTCAACATGTTTTTGGACTGTGTGGGAGGAAGCCGGAGAACCCAAAGAGAACCCACACTGCAAAGAACATGCAAACTCCACGCAGAAAGATTCCAGGTGTCCTCACCGGGACGTGAACCGGCGACCTTCTTGCTGTGAGGCAACAGTGCTACCAACTGCACCACCTTGCAGCTCAAAACCACACAGACATTATTGTGCTTGTGTCAGGAAAACAAATGTTCCTAAAACAAATGTTAGTATTGAGGAGCGTCTGTAGGAGGAGATTGTCTGTCTTCCACATCCTTATTATTATAGCAGCCGATGACGAGAGCCAAGAGTGATCTGTGGTCTGTGAACAGTCTCCAGCTCAAATGCTGAAGTCGAACAAGCTGATATTTTACAGGTGAACTAGGAATGGCCTCTCCTTGGAATGATTAGATTTTGGGGTCAATCGGTGTAAAAATAGTTCCACTAGAGGTTAAAGATCACTTTTCCAAAAATGCAGAACACCTTCAAAAGGTAGATTTATGGGATGTGGTGCAGATAAGCAGCCACGTTGGGGCTTTCCGTTGGTGATGTAGCATTTTACCTAGCTGATATTTTCAAGATCAAACTCAAGGTAAAAAAAAAAAATGCAACATTGCCTTTATATTTTAAATAACATATAATGTATATGTGGATTGTTTCCATGTCACCTTGGACAACCAGCCAACCATGATTGGCGAAAGACACCACCTATTCTGTGATAGGTTGGATGGAATAATGGTGTACTGGGGCTCAGTGCAATCAGGGGCAACTACGTCCCTCTACTGAGGGTCCTGTAGTATTTTATTAATAAAAGAGTTCTAATTGCAGTAGTCACTGCTGGGCATGGGAAGTGGGAGGTTCTAAAGTCTCCAGATATCCTGTGCTACATGCACTATACTCGACACATCTCAGGAATAATCACTGACAGCGGTTATATTCTCTAAACATGCAAAATCACAGCCTTTCAGTAGCTAAAACAGGGAAGATACTTAAAAAGAAAGGATTGCAACAGAAAGCCATGTGGGCCAGAGAGAAAGAGAACATAGACCAGAGAACAGAAAAGAAAACACAGGAAAAGATGTGAAAATGCAAAAATACAGAATGTCAGTATAAATAAATCCATACAACAAACATCAAATAATACAAATACAATCTGAAAAGTCCCAAAAATGCTATAATACATAAAAAGAAAGAAACAAATATGGATATGAGGAATGATAGCAAAAAAGAAAATAGAAAGGTAAAACTGATAAAAGCAAGTTTAAATTAGTGAAAAAAGTAAAAGAAACCAAAAGAGAGCATTTTGTAAAAACAGGCTTGAGGGAATTATTTGACAGTCTGCAGTTTTATCTGCTCAGGTAAGCTGAGGTGTCCTACTCGGTCACCTTCAGATTTAGGCCTCAACTATGGAACAGTCAGAGAGGCTGCAAACGAGGACAGCATCTCTGATATACAGTTTGGGTTCAGATGCTGATGAGGTTTAAATGCGATCAATGAAAGCTTAAAATCTGTTCTGAAATGCATAGAGGAAAGTCATGTTTGAGGTGATGTCATCTATTTAGAACCAGTGAGGAGCTAAACTGCTGCTTTCTGAACTAGTTGGAGACGACACAATGGTTGAGATCAGGGAGGAGGTTACAGTAGTAAAGCTGTGAGAAAACTAGGGCTTAGATTACTTTTTATGTATGAATAAAACTGAATGCAAGTCCATGAACCACTTTTAAAGTCTGCAACAGTCCATGTATGTCTGTACAGAAAGCATGAATTGGCCCTTAGTCAACCCATCTTCAGTCTATCAGATGATACCGCTTTCTAACAACAGACTGTTATCCTGTTATAACCTGAGAATTAATAGCTTGTATCCCTACAAACATATATTCAATCTTTGCTGCAGCGGCACAGTTAATGGAATCAGTAATAGCAGGTAGCAGTGACAATCTCGAGCACTCAGACAGCTAGTGGCTAGAACCTGTTACAGAAAGATGGGCTTAAAGATGCAGCTGGTGGTGCAGGGAAGCTGCCAATCAAAGTAGGGGCTGGCTGATGACGCAAAGTGTGTTAAGATACAACAGATTTATTGAAGACGTCTGCAGGTGATGATGAGGACAGCGGTGAAGAAGCAGAAAATGAGGGAGGAGTGAGCTGAGAGCAGCTGCTGAAACACTACTGAAAACTGAGTCCTGCTGCTGGTTTGACCATTTTTAAACTTTGACAGTCAGACTCAGGGCACAAACGTTTAGAGAAGTTTTGTTTCTCTGGAGTGTTTAAAAAATGGTCATCAACTTTAAAAATGAACATGGAAATGCGACCATTTTTCTCATCAAGTATTTTTCACGTTACATCCAACAAGGCATTTGTTACTCAGCCCAGCAATAAAAATGACCAACAGTCAGGTGGACACGTCTCCAGACAGACAAGGGAAGGAAAAGATGGAGGAGGAGGGAGCAGAAACCAGCACAGATTCAATTAGAGGAGCTCTGCTGAATGTTACCGTGTGACTGTGAAGTAAATTAGAGTGCAATACTTCATCCATATGATCAGGCTCATTCAGGTTATTTATTGATGCCGTACAATAAACAGACTAAATGACAAGCATGCGGCAAAAGTTTCAATTCAATTTTAATTCAAATAACTTTATTTATCCCCTAGAGGCAATTCAAAAGCTCACTAAGCATTTAATATAAAGACATAAAAACAACAATAAATCATAAGTATCATATCCATCCATCCATCATCTATACACCGCTTAATCCTCACTAGGGTCACTGGAGTCTATCCCAGCTGACTTAGGGTGAAGGCAGGAGACACCCTGGACAGGTCACCAGTCTATCACAGGGCTACACTTAGAGACAGACAACCAAGCACACTCACGTTCACACCTATGGACAATTTAGAATCACCAATTAACCCCAACATGTTGTTGGACTGTGTGGGAGGAAGCCAGAGAACCCAGAGAGAACCCATGCTGCACGGGGAGAACATGCAAACTCTACACAGAAAGATCCCGGGTGTCCTCACCAGGATGGGAACCAGGGATCTTCTAGCTGCAAGGTGATGGTGCTAACCACCTAGCCACCTTGCAGCCCTCACTCAGTTTTGAATTGTGCTTATTGAACACACAAACATCAGGAGGAAAACCTTCGAAAGTTAGTTTCACAGTTTTACATTTTATCCAACCACAAACAATACAAATTAACAGAGTGTGAACTTTTAAAAAAATTAAGGATTCATCAATCGACAAATGTACTAGATCTAGTTTGGTGTATCAAACTGACAGCAAATTCAAGCAGTTTTGCTCCAGAATGTTGAACTGTGCATAATTTGTGGTTGCAGTCAGTCACTGTTGGCAGCTGCTTGAACTGAAAGGAAAATAAACCTAACTGATCATCTTTTTCCATTTTAATGTGAATTCACCTTAAGCTGTAGGTCCATCCAGGGTCCACAACATTATTTGTTCTTAGCCTTCACCACCATGTAGTCAGTTGTTGACTGTAGCTGTCCACCAAAGCATTTTGTTGTGATTCCATGTTCTCAGTGTGAGAACCATGTATTAACATCTACGCTGAAAACACCAGCACCAGTGACCAGCTGTTGAGTGTTCGGTCTGTGTTGAGAGTTGAAAAATGTCAAATTTGGGGTAAAAAAAATAGCCAACAACAAATATCAACCACCATATTCTACTACTCTACTCTAGAAGAGCAACTGAACAGCAATGAAGGAGAAGATGATGCTGCTGGTCTCTTAGTATGCAGGTGACATCTGCAGACCACAATTATATTCACATGAAAAAGAACGTTTGGAGGAACATTTCATTTGCAATAGACTGTATATGAAAGACAGATGTGGCCTCCGAGTTCTAAATTGAAGCCACTACAGGATATGTAAACCTGCATATTTTCCCCTATCCAGCAGGTGGCGACTCCTCCGGCTACAAAAAGAAGTCCAACTATATAGAAGCCTTTTAGAAAATTACCCAACTTGTCCCTTGATTTGTTACCTCAGTGAACATTTTCTTCATGACTTTATGGTCTCAATTGCTACTTAAAAGTCTACTTAAATACAGCATGATGTTCATTTTGTAAATTAGAAACTCATTTGCAGTAAAATAGATGACAAAACACAGTGTATTTGTATGCCTGTAGGGCAACAGCAAAACTTCAAACTTGAGGCCTCAGAATGGTTCACAAAGCAATGGGCTATAACTATGCCCATCTTTTACAGACAATCTGTAGTGCTTGAAAAACATTGCTTTCACAGATATTCTCAGTCCCAGCTGGACATTTTAGCTGGGGAAAAAAAAAGAATGTTTTGGCAGACACACCTCTTAATGAACATGGGCGTTGTTT